TTTGCTTCTGTTATTGCCAACTCTTGATGTATAGTATTCTCTCCTTAGTTCTTGCTGGCACATTCTTACTGTTGCCAGTTCTTAAAAGTGTTTTTCATTATAGTCTTTCTCTTACTTCCCAAGGAAGTGGCTGCAGTTTCTTTACCAGTTTTTCAGGGATTTTATCTTTATTTCTTCCAATAGCTTGAGCAGTACAAGGTGGCTTCCTTCGTTTTTCCCCCCATGTCTTACCTCCACAGGAGTCTGAAGAACCCTGAAACGGCTTTGTTCTGGAGCTTCCCAATTGGGAAGTTCAAAAGGAGCTTTGAAAGGAAATATTTCTTGTCCCCACTAGGGGCACCTTCTGTCTCTCACAAGGTGATGTCTCGTCGCCCATTTGCAGCATTCTTCACAGCCCACACTCAATACTAAGACTGCTTCTCTGTACCTTAGCTTTTGTATTACAACGATAGATAACCCTGAAATGATGCATGACTGGCAATGTGGTTACCTCTTTGACTTTTCCTCATCAGGTCACCAATGTCTATGTGTCTGTAGAGCTATTGCTCGATCACAGTACCTCTTATCCAGCCTGATTCTGAACAGGGACCCTATGTGTACTAAGAGGGTTTTTCTTCAGTCAAATGAGGAATCTTGCAGGATTTGAAGGAGAAACAATGTTATAAAAATGCCTTTGGGTTTCAAGTGGATGTGTAGCTCGTATTCTCTAGAAATACTTCCTCCATGAAATATTTACCGGGTTGGAGTTTATGATAGCTTAAACCCACCATATGTGATAAACACTAGAGTTTGTAATATTTTGAAAACAACAAACTACAAGGTTCTGCATAGAGCAAAACTTACTTTTGCATAAGTAATAAGGGTGAAGGGGAAGGAGTAAGCAGAATAATTGAGAAAAGGTCCCTCGAGACAAGCAACAGATATACTCCAATATGAAAAAAAGTTGCTTTGCGTAATGCTTTAGTGCTCGGAAGGGTATTCATAGTCCCAATAAAGTGGATGTGATTTTTGTCCTTTACTTTTTTAAAGGGACTATGGACTACCTGTAGATTTAAGATCTAAAGAACAAGTTTTTCAATAATGTAAATCATGTCAGTAGTCCTATGGGACACTTCATAACTGTGACTCTTCTGCAGAGAAGTAAATAATTTCAAAATAAAGCCTTCATCCAAATACTGTAGGAGAAATAACTGAATCAGAGCTGTAAAAACTGGTAAGCAAAGGATGACAAGCTTTTACTTGAGCAAATATTAATAATCTGAAATCTGGTTTGATTTGTCAGATATACTTAAGGAGAGGCATCTTCAGGTACTGATTGCTTTGCCAACAAAAAATAATATTATTGAAAATCTTGATTCAGCTTAAGAGGCCATTCTGCATGAGTAGTAAGACTGAATTATATCTGCTATGAGCGTGAATGTGGTAAGAATGAAAATGAGACCTTGATAAGGGCCATCACAAGTAGTGATCACTTCACTTTTCTTTTATCGTGCGTTTTTTGAAGTCATTTAGAACATCTTTGCAGTTTTGTTTTGTTTTGTTTTTTTAAAAAAATCAAACATACAAAAACTAGGGGGAGAAAAACCACCTCTGGATTAGGAGAAAGATCTGGTCCCATGAGCATACGTTTCCTAAGATATGCCTACGAAGATGTTTTAGTTAATTACACTGCTGAATGGGGCAGGGGAGCTGGTCACAAGTGACTTGGAGAAGGCTAATGTACTCAATGCATTCTTTACTTCAGTCTTTATCTGTAAAACTTCAGGAATCCCAAGCCCCTGAAACCCAAGGGAAAGTGTGGAACAAGGAAGACTTACCCTTGGTAGAGGACCACCAGGTTGGGGAGCACAAAATTGCATGTTTGTTCACGAGTGCTGAGGGAGCTGGCTGAGGTTATTGCAAGGCCGCTCTCGATTATCTTTGAATGTCATGGTAATTGGGAGAGGTTCCTGAAGGCTGGAAGAGAGCAAATATCACTCCTGTCTTCAAGAAGGACAAAGCAGAAAGATTGAGCAAACTACAGACGGGTCAGCCTCGCTTCTGTCTCTGGGAAGATGATGGAGAAAATCCTCCTAGAAAGCATTTCCAAACACATAAAGGACAAGAAGGTGATTGGGAGTAGTCAGCATGGATTTACAAAGGGGAAATCATGCTTGGCCAGCCTCTGTTGCCTTCAGCAATAAGGTGACTAGCTTGTTGGATGAGGAGAGAGCAGTGGATGTTGCTCACCTTGACTTTAGTAAAGCTTTTGACGCCATCTCCTGTAACATCATCATAGGCGGGCTGACAGAGTACAGGTTAGATAGGTAGACAGTGAAGTGGATTAAAAACTGGCTGAATGACTGGGCCCAGAGGGTTATGACCAGAGGTGCAAAGTCCTGTTGGAGGCTGGTAAGAAGTGGTGTACTCTAGGGCTCAGTATGGGGCCAGTACTGTCAACACCTTTGTTAATGACCTAGATGATTGGACAGAGCGCAGCACCCTTAGCAAGCTTGCAGATGATAGCAAACTGGGAGGAGTGACTGATACACCAGAGGGCTGTGCTACTATTCAGAGGGACACCAACAAGTTGGAGAACTGGGCTGAGAGGAATCTCACAAAGTCCAACAAGGGGAAATGCAAAGTCTTGGATCTGGGGAGGAATAAACACCAGGCACCGGTTTTGTTGAGGGCTGACTGGCTGGAGAGGAGTTTTCCCCAGGAGTACCTTGGGGTCCTCATGGACAACAAGCTGGCCATGTGGCAGAGACGACCAGCAGTTCACTGGGCATTGCCAGCAGGCTGATACTACTCAGCACTAGTGAGGCCGTATCTGGCATGTGTCTGGTTCTGGGCTCCCCAGTATAAGAAAAATAGGGACTTAGTGAAGCCAGTCCAGTGCAGGGTTACAAAAACAGTTAAAGGCTTCGAGAATCTGACATACGAGGAGAGGCTGGGAGCTGGGGCTGTTCAGTCTGGAGGAGACCAGGCTCAGGGCACCTTAGCAATTTATAAAACACCTGATGGGAGGGAATGAAGACCAGGGAGACATGAGGCAATGGGCACAAATTAAAGCATGTGAGGTTCCATCTGAACACAAGAAACCCTTTTTTTACTGTGAGGGTGGTCAAACACTGGAATGGGTTGTGCAGAGAGAGGTGGCAGAGTTTCCGTCCTTGGAGATCTCAAAACTCACCTGACTGGGCACAGTCCTGGACAGTCTGCTCTGGCTGACCCTGGTAGAGCAGGGCGGTTTGGACTGAGTGACCTCAAGAGGTGCCTTCCAACCTAAACAATTCTGTGATAAATCTGACATGCAGACTGAACAAACCTGTTTGCTGTCTGTGTATTGGAAGCTTTGCTGTACAAAGTTATTTGAGCAGTATTGGTTATTATGAAGATAAACATTCAAGAGGATGTTTACCTTAAACTTGATGTATTGCTTCTCACTGCATTGGGTATCTGGTTAAGTATTGTGCATTTCTTTTTCCATTGGTGATTCATGGCAGGTGTCTGAAAACATGGAACTACTCCAGATATCACATGGGATCTGCCGTGATCAGTAGCTGAAATCCATGGTGCAGATAAGGGAATAGAGAAGCAATATTTAAGAACCTCAGCAGTTCTCATTTTTCAGAAAATACTATTGATTCTATTAGGAATTTGCTGTAAACTAACCATTTTTAATATGTATGTGTGTATACACATCAATATGTGTGTGCGCATATATACATATGATTCTATTTGCATATACATGTATAAAGAAATACATATGTTTATATGAAAAGTGAAATCCTTAAAAAGCATCCATGTGGAGCCCTGCCTGCAGGATTTTACACTGAGCGAAGAGCACAACCGTGTTGCTGTCAGATGCATCTTGACAGACTGAAGCCCCCAGGTTCAGGGAGGCTCTGTGAAAGCCGCGCTTGTGGGCTGGTCACGATATGTCGCCACTCATTATCAAAGGGGAATTCAGGGAGGTACCTTCAGAATCAGCCAGGTTAATTAGTGTCACTTAGTTCCCTCCAAATACATACATGCGTGCACACGAAGGCTTCCTTGACGATCCTCTGTAATATTTGATGCTTTTGCCTTTATTTTCAAACATTGTGACCATGTTCAGGTGCAATTGCTAGGGGCAGGGAAAATTGTTTAGCCTCACTGGTATCAGATTAATAGCAAATCCCATTGTGGAGGATAGTTTTTAATAATCAATATTTTAATAATCAATATTGCAGTGGAGACCCTGTACAGTCCCTTCCATTCATATTTATGTTTATCTTGTAGGTAATTGATTAGCTCTGTAGAATACCTTTAATTAGTCTAAATCATGGGGAGAAAAGTTTACAATACATGGCTTTAAAAAACTGAGTATGATGAGAATACGTAAACGTGTAACTTTTTCAGGTTGTGAGCTTTCCTTATGCCAAACTTCGTTGCTTTACATTTTTCTGAGCTATTTAGAGTTTTATTTTCTAATAATTGAATAGCTCAGTGTAGACAGGATATGTCCCAGCAGCTCTTCTCAGAGTTATCTTCCATTCTTCAATTAAAGAATATTAAAGGTGTATTTCTCCACATTCAGAAACAACAAAATCAGGTAGGCGTGTTTATTTTGAAAACTTCACTGTTACAGGTTCCTAATCCCACGCAACCCTCTCTTCTTTTTCAGGACTCCGAGGAGGAAGACAGTGAGTTGGAGGCCATTAATAAGAAGCTGATAAGTCCACAAAGTTTTCAAAATTTCCGGCCTTATGTACCAGAGGAGTTTGCTGACTTCAGTGTTTACAATGCTAGCCTGGAGAACAGGGTGTGGCTTTCTTCTAAATCAGACTTCATGAGTTCACGTGTTCTTGAGAAAGAGGTATCCCGCAGCCCCACCACTAGCAGTATTACTAGTGGCTACTTTTCCCACAGTGCCTCTAATGCTACCCTGTCTGACATGCTTGTTCCCTGTAGTGATAGCACAGACCAGCTAGCCAGTCACACCAAGGAACTGGACTCTAACGATCCCTCGGGATCATCTCTTGCACATGATGCAAGGTCATCTTTGAACAAGGAATGTCGAGAGTCAGACAAGGAGTTACCAAGAGAAAAGTTACCTGTGTTACCACTGAAAGAAAACAGTGCCTTAATGGAACAAGTATCACTGTCCCTTGACGCCACTGAGGGAGACTCTCAGCAGTTACCCAGAGCTGGATCACTTTCAGCTTTAAGTTCCTCGGATGGCAAAAGTACCTGTTGTACAATTGAATTTTCAGCACGTGAAGCAACAGTTGAGCACATGACGGACGTTCTGGAAGATCACTCCTTTACAGAGTTCATGGGTGTTGAAGATGGAAAGGACTTTGACCATTCGGCAGTTCCACAGTCGTGTTCCCTTGTGTCCTCTAATGGTGCGAGTTCCTCGGAGTTGCCCCGAGGTTCTGACAAGGAGCAGAGCACGTGCGTGGGCCAGCTGGGCTCTGTGGCGGCGGCGGCAGCAGCAGGCCACCGGCTTGCCGACACTGTGGAAAGCCCTTTGTGTTCTGTACTGGTAAAAGAGACTTCAGACTGTGAGACTTACCCTGATGCTCCTGTAGATGATTTTGTTGGGAAGGACCACTTGGATGGTTCTGATTGTGAAGAAGGTGCTTCTGCAGATCAAGCCCAAGTCTTGCCTAGCTGGGTGGCAGTGGGTGAACAAGTCTGTGTTGGAAGTAATAAGATGGGTACGGTGAGATACGTTGGAACGGTGGATTTTTCAGCTGGAATCTGGGTTGGAGTTGAACTTAATGTTCAGCTGGGTAAGACTAAATATGGTCTGGGTTACCTATGCAGCTAGTGTGATCTGGTTTTGAAGTTAAACTACAATCATACGCTGTTCAGTGTTGGGAAATACCCCTAATTTCATATAGGCTTGGAGTCAGATACAGCCAGTTCTAGGTTTTCTGCTTGTAGGAATGCTTTGCTAGTAAGGGTTAGTTTTTAACTGTTGTAAAGCCCCACTCTTCTTGCTTTGTGCAGAATAATGCTTTTGCATGTTGTCGTAGTTCCTGTTGGGACCCATCTGTTTTTATAATCACAGAAACAAGCAAAGCCTAAAATTGGCACATTTTTTTTTAAAAACGTGCATGTTCATGGGCGGTGCTAACCACGGAAATAGGTGTGCTCTCTGTAGCTCTCAGAGATTCCCCCCACACCGGGGAAAACTTCATTACAGAGCACAGGTTTTCTTTAACTTCATTTCGGTGGGGTCAGAAGAAGCCAGTGCTCCACAAGTGTTAAGAGACTCCTGCAGAAATACTTCAGATCTCTTAAAGAGATGATGGTTTTGGTAGCTTAATAGATATTAACGCTGATACTAGAAGTTTCTCTGGCGGCTAAGTTTTAAGCTTTGTAAGCAGCTGGTTTTGAGGATAGTTTATTTTGTAAAAGGAACAAATGTTTGGCTTCTTAAACCGTTCGTTAACAAAGTAATATTTTAAGAAATCCTCTCTTTGGTCACAATTCAAGCCGCCCTTTCCAGGTTTTGTTCTCCCTAGTGTATGGTATGCACCTGGCGTCATCACACAGCATTAAAAACCTTGACTCTGGCCTATAACCAAAGGTATTCACACCTCAGCGCTGCAATTGTGTGTGCTGAAGAAAGTACCAACAACTAATGCTGTGCGTTTATTTTCGTTGAAGGGAAGCATGATGGAACTGTGAAAGGCAAAGAGTACTTCCACTGCAAACCACGCCACGGTGTCTTCGTTCGTCCTGGGCGCCTCAGCAAAGCACCAGCTTCCGCAAGGAAATGGAGTAGCACTTCACGGTCTCAGGCATCTTCCACTTCAGAAAAACGGAAAAATTCTGTGCTTCAAGGCTCATCCTCCACTCCTAAAACAGGAGGAGAAGTCCTGTGCCATTCAGGAGATGCAGCGGCTTCTGCTTTTTCTAGGAAACAGGAGAACAGGAAATCTTGGATTAACTAAACTGCAGTATTTTTGCACTTACTACACGCATCACTGTGTAGAAAACTATGGATTTTTCAAGCTATTGTACATTTTAATCTGTCTATACAGAATGTGTATTCTCTAGAGTCCTTGACTTAATTCTCTAATTTTTTATAAATAATATATATATAATATATATATATATGAATGTGTATCTATAGTTTGCCAGTGGGCAGATACAGCTGCACACTAAAATACAGTTAAAGCTGATCTGTAGATAACTGAGGTACTGGACTATTTGTTACGCAACAACTTGGGAGATATATTTTAAACAACAAAAATATTTTATTGTGGAAAAACCAGGATGTAAATCCATTTGGAGGAAAAAAAAAAAAAAGCTACGGTTTGTTCTTAATTACCAAAGAACCTGTTTTAGACTGACACGTTTGCTGTTTATATCTTTGTATTGTAAATGTTTTAACTGAGAACTTGGTGCCATGTTCCTTTGAGTCACCGGGCACCGTGCAGCCTTATGTTCTGTGTTCAAGCACACTGAAATATCCAACTGCTTCGTACTTTTTGTCTTCCTAGAGGCCTGCCACTGTGCTGACTCGGCATTGGACTGAGATGACTCGCAATGCCTGCAGCTGTGTTAGCATAAGCCAGCTGGGCAGTTTGACTGCAGAAACAGTGTTACTGCAAGGGTGTGAGGGGACAACGTTTAGGGGGTTTGGGGTGGGGTGTGTTTTTGGGTGTGTGTGGGGAAACGGGGAAACAAGCAGTAAACGGATCGTGACTGCAAACTTTGCACTTGTTATTTGCTGGTTATTATTATCAAGATGAAATAGAACCTGCTAAAGCAATTTTAATCTGTAAAGTTTATTTTAATAATGGGAATGATGGAGGGATTTATGTCTGGTGCTCATGAATTCCTGAGGAGGTTGTTCCACATGTAGATACTGTAGATGCCTGTACAAGTGTTCTGGATATTTGTAAAGTAACGTGGTAAAAAAATGGGTGAAGGAATGGCCTGCTGTATCTGTTCTTTGTTTCTTAGCAAGTGAATGATTGAGATACCTGGGACCTTACTGAAAAGCTGCTGTTCTTTCTTTGATTGTTGTGTACAGTGAGCGGACTCTCATATTTTACTATTTACTGTAAAGAACTGTAATTTATATACTGCCATACTGTATTTAATTGGTACAGACCTATTGTGTGTTAGAATACAGACTGTTTACTTGGGATTTTAAAAAAAAAAAAAGTAGTTTTGCTTGTATTTGGTGCAATTAGGTTTCACGGTCAAATAGTGCACTGGTTTTAGCTGACAGTGCTTAGCTGCCACATACTTTGTAAAAATGATGGAGGACAATATGGTATTAACCTGTGTTAACACTTACTGGCTCGTGCAGCGTTAGGAGAGGAATTGCAGCCCCTGTGGATAGATACCCTGTGTTCCTCACCGGCTGCTTTCCTGGGAGCAGGGCTGGGGAACTCCTGCCAGAGAAGGGCGTTATGTGGGTCAAGGGGAGATGGGACAAGTTCCTGAAAGACAGATGGGACAGGCTCATTGCTAAATATGTAAATACCTCAGCTGAGTACAGCATAGCGAGGGTGGTGAAAGGGGAGGAGGGGTGAAGTTCAGTCTGCTCGCTCTTGACATAGCTGTGGGCTCCTCCAAGACAAGATTCTGGCGTGTTAATTGATTTTGGTGAAGTGAATATCCATGCGGAACATTTCATACTTCTGGTGTCCAGCTAGAGTTGCTCTTACTGCGTTAATGCTGCTGCTGGCAGAACTTGCCAGAGTAGAAATAAAAACACTTTATGCAGAAGTATCTTATTGGGCAGAGATGATCCTAGAGCACTACTGGCTAATGCCACAGTCTTCAAGTTAATTTTAGATGTCACTTTGATCTCTTTATAGCGCTTTGTAGAAAATTTACATGAACATACATTTTGAAAGCTAATGTGGCCATTTTTTTTCTGGTAAAGAGGTTTTTTTACACTGGATTACTGGGCTCTTTGTGGTTGTAGACCGTGGAGAATGCAATCCATGCTGCCTGTCTTCCCACCCAAAAGCCTTCCTCCCTCTTTCCAACGGGATGAAACCAGTTGCCGTCTTCTTTCTGCACAAAACGAACTTAAAAGCACCTTTTCTCATTTAGAAGAAAACAACCAACCAACAACAAAACAAAACAAAACAAAAAACAAAAACAAAAAAAGAAAAAAACCCACCCACCCCAACAACGCACATCCGGGGCGGTGTGGGAAAAGGCGAGGCCTGGGGCGGAGCGAAGGGAGAGCTGGCCCGTGCCCCAGACGCAGGGCGGGACGTGCGGCTCCGCACGATCGGCTGCAAAGCCGAGCCTCCTGCC